TTAGGTTTCTTTGCATTTCATTTCTTAGTATTAAATAGTAGTTATTTGGTTGCAATAAATTTTGATTAAATTTTATTTAGTTTTTTGTGTGTCTAAATGAAGTATGTATCTATTAAGGTGGGTATTCACTTGCAACAAAACACTCCGAACGAGCCAAACGCGCCGCGCGCGCTGTAACAAGTTTGTGTAGTCAGTGCGTTGCGCCGAACCGAACCCGAACAAAAGTGTTTATGGTGTTTTTAAACTGTACCTAGCTATGGAGTGGAACAGAGAAAAGTGTTTAGAGTTAATTGATGAGTTTGAAAGGCTGCCTATTTTATTAAATTAATAATTAATTATTAAATTAATTAAATTCTTCTTATGCATAATATAATCTAGGTCACTAAGTACGGCCAATGACGGCGCTAAAAGAGGCGTCTTGCCTACATTTTTCGTCCTTTCCTTTTTTTCTCTTTTTTGTTACCGGCTAATGCCTCCATAATTAAAAAAGCACCAGCGGCTATGGTAATATCAGATGCATCCTTATCGACAAACACACTAACACTGATTCACACACTGATTACTGGTGGGAACGCAGCGAACACCGCAAACAGGCGGAACGCTCCGCACAAAATGTTTTGTTGCAGGTCGTTCAGAGCGCTTCCGGAAAAAGTTTTGTTGCAGATTGTTTGGAGTGCGCGGCGCGTTTGGTTTGTTCGGAGTGTTTTGTTGCAAGTGAATACGCACCTTTACATTTGAAAAATAATGGTCAAACTAAAGTGCGATTAATAAAAAATTAGTCAAGTGCGAGTCGGACTCGCGCACGAAGGGTTCCGTACCATTCAGTATCTATACAACATTAGACACTATATTATTATAAACTTTTTTCCTATTTAGATGAAATTTTGAATGCGCGTCTAAGTAACTTAAAAAAAATGAAGAAACACATTACTAAAAATTGTATTAATCAATAATAAATATGTAAAAAGTAAACATAAATATGTAAAAATTAAAAAAAACTATTAAAAAAAGTCGTCTTGACTATTATTCGAACCTGCCTTACTACGGCTCCAACGTCATAGCAGCGTAAAGTCCTCACGCTTTAACCACGCGGCCACCGAGGACTTGAAAGATTCTATGTAAAATTCTTACTTAAAAGATGTTTAGTGAAAGTACTTTTTTATTTATAAACATTTATTTAATTCTGTTTTTAGTATTTGTTCTTATAGCGGCAACATAGATACATTATTTTATTACGACATAGATACATTATTTTATATTATACACTATATTATCTGTAAAAAATTTAACTGTCTAGCTATAACGGTTTATAAGATATACCTTTGTGACAGACGGACGGACGGACGGACAGCGAAGTTAATAGGGTTCTCGTTTTTACCCTTTGGGTACGGAACCCTAAAAACCAATGTCAAACCACTAAATTTATAGTCGTTTGAGATTGGTTCTTATTTTTCGCTATATTTTCAGTAAGAAAGAATTAGAGGAGATATTTGAAAATGCTGTTTTGATCTCATAAAGGCTGTTTTTATATTTTTAAATTTTCCGCTAGTTCTGATTAGTGATGGGAAAAACCGATTAATTTCAATAATCGAGTACTCGAGTTTCAAGCGATTGCAATAACCGAGTGAACGCTCGAACGAAATATCACTCATATTTAAAAAGACGGGTTTTCGCCCGTCCTTTGTTATAAGTACAGGTTAACGCCAAGCGCCAAGCAGTAAGTTGCGTGCGCAGGGCACATATTTTTTCGGTGCTGAATGGCAAGTAGCAAGCGACGAGCGATTCGCTTGATCGCTTGATTTAGTTTATTTCAAAGCATTGTCGATGTAAGTCGTAAACTTTTGTCCCTCAGATACGGAACGGATAAATATATATATTCGGCGTCGTATAAATTTGCTACCTGCAATGTATGTAGAAAATTCGCTCGGCTTTTTTTTCGAGTATGTCACATTAAACGCTCGTTTATAATCGAGCGATGTCGGTTATTTCAATAATCGAGTATTCGAGCGAATTTTCGCTCTAGTTATCCCATCACTAGTTCTAATAAGAAAAAAGAGGTAAATACCGGTAATTCCATGATATAAATTAGCGACTACCGGTAAATTGAAAAGTCGGTATATTTGCAATCTCTATTACCGAAGATTTATTATTATTTGAATAAGATGGGTTTTTTTTGTTACTCTGAGGTGCCACGCCTCACAATCCGACCGGCGAGACGCGGTGAAAGAAAAAACAAACATCCGAAGAAAAAAACTTAAACCGTTCAAAAGAAAGAGAGTCTGAAAGGCCGCGTGGGCTTCGAAACATTACAATACAATTTGTATGTAAACTAAATGTGACAGGCTAAATGGTCCCATTAGCATACAATGAGTGTTTTTGTCGTTCACGTGATCGACTCTTAAAATACACATGTCTGGCGGGTACGGTAGTTGCACGAGTGACACGCTCACACGAATAGGAATGTGCTTTTATAATAATTATTGGCTATGAACAGTCTTCTGTACACTTATTTCTAAAAATTTCAAATGAAATATAGGAAAATGTTAGATTATATAAAAAGACAGCTTGATATGAAAATGATTATTCATTATTCATTTGTGAAGAATTATACAATACGGAAAATAGTGTCTTTAAAAAGTTGTATGATCGCGCAGATTTTGGACGATGGCTGTTAAATAATTCTTATAGGAAGTTACGTAATACAGGGTGTTTTTCAATAGTGACTCACCCCTATAACTTTTATTTTTTTAGATAAAAAATGAGATTTGGTGTGTCAGTATATGACATAAATCGGGATTGATTGGCTGACATGTCATATGTCAATAACATTTGCTGCATTTTCAGTTAAAGAGTGCCATGCCTATGTTAACACTACTAATTTTTAATCAAGGAGCTTTGTAAACAGAGTTTTGTTCGTCAATATTTTTGTCCTGGCCGTTTAAAAGACGACCAAATCGTATTTTTAATCATAACTCGATTTTTTTTAAATGGAGTGGTGGTGCTACATTAGCATATTTGGAAAAAGCATTTTTTTACGAATAATTTGGTACCTCATACTTGGTATTTCGAGTCAAAAAATTAATTGTCGTAACCGAGGGGTCAACCACCATGTTAAAAAATGTACAATGATTTCCATATTTGGCAATCACTCATCAGTTATTCCCATGTATTCCCAAGTATTGCCACTGATTTCCACTAATTGCCAAGTATTTTTATATGATTCCCAAGTTATTCCCAGTTTTGTTAACGATTCCCATGTGATTCCCGATTGATTACCTGATTTCCTCCCTGATTTCCTAAGCAATCACCTGATTACCAGTCAATTTAATTACGAAAACAATGTTTAAGTGTTTATTTTCGTTTTATTGTGATATTTCAAGTTATAATAATTAAAATATACATACCTACATTTAATGCTAAAAAATTAAACAAAATATAATGAACTGAAACTAAGAAAATCATTATGAATAACATGCAAGATACACTAACTTAGTAAAACTAAAACATACATAATATATGTAGGTACATTTGGCTCGTAAGTTAAACAGAATGAAAAAGAACATTGTACTAAAAATATTGAGTCAGGTACTGCAATAGGAACATGGCAAAAATAAATACATTGGCTAAAAAAAACTAAAACATCATTACCTATTAAAAAAAAGATGCTGATAAATAATATCTAAATAGATAATTTATTAACATTTAAATCTTTGTATTTTTTGTTAATGACAACCAAATCGTTTCTCTTTATAGTAAACGGATCACAGCCACATAATGTGATAGGTCCATGAAAAATGAAACGTCGATGAACTTCTTGTATATCGTCTTTTTGGGCTATTTAAAAATATCCTTGTCCTGTTGTAAAAACTTCATTTTAAACTTTTCTGATTTACAGTTAATTACTAGCCCTAGATACCATTGTATGTCATAGTACACAGCATAATATGAATCTAAGCTAATGGACTCGATATTGGACATGGTTTTACCAGAACGTTCTTCTAAATCAGAGAAATCTTCGCTTAGGATCTCACTAGCCAAACTAATGTCTGATTCTGATTCAGACGTGCTATCTTCTTCCTTTCGCCTCTGCTTCTCGCTTAGCTTACTATTTCTTCCACTTCGTTTAGATTTATTTTTTAAGGTCTTATTAAGCTGGATTCCCGACTTTTTTCTTTTGAATGTTTTTAAGGGACATCCCCTTAACTCTTAATAATCGATCAGTCGATAAACGCCCCTGCTTCTCGGAGAAGAACCAAATTAAAGTTGATTTTTTTAGTATTCTGGTTTTTCCATCATTAAGCGTCACCGCTAGACATGACTTGTGTATTTTTTTTTGCCCTGAAAAACCTTTAATTGTAGCGAATCGTAATTGTCAAACTTTGATGTGTACTGAAGAAAATCTGAGTCTTCTTTAGGCAAGCCGGACTCGAGTGGGGTTTCGAGAGTGATCTTTCCTCGATCTTTCGATTCTTATGATCTATAACACTGTCATCTAATTCTTCTTCCTCTTCAAGTTCTGTACTACATGGAATTTGTTCAGTTAGTAAGTCAACATTTAACCAACATTCCGTATTCATTTCCATACCAAACTGTCTAGCACTTGATATTGCATCTTCTTTGGCTTTTCGATTGTATGCTTAATAAGTTCCACTGATGGAAGATGATTAATTTGATAAGAAGGGGAATCATCGCCCACTATTGTTTTCTTGTCGGGGAAATATAAACTCGGCACCTAAAGATATAAAAAACTAATTTAGAATGTAACCGATAATGTAACGCAAATAGATCTCAGGCCATTTTACTCACCTAAATCAGTGCTGATTTCATGCATAGCTTGTATGCGTTTTAAGCGTCTTAATAGTTCAAGTAGTGTATAATTTATTACGGTGGAGAAGGTACTGCTCATAGATCGTGTTTCTCTAAATATTTTTTCGCATGACTGACTGCTAAACAACCATGGAAGAAAAGCTTCTGGAATTTGTTTTTGACAGAAGTTGCTCAATGGCAAGGATAATTTCATGAGCATTTAGCTCTATGCATGTGTATGTATTTGAAGTAATAAATTTCTTCTGAATACTTTGGTTATTCTTTTGAGCCAGGATCTCCAAATGCGCATAAAAAAAGTAGCATACCAAATGAGATATATCCTCCGTTCTATACTGATATCTTTTAACAAAAATGCATCCAAGATATACCGTGTTAAAATTAAATATTGCCTAGTAGCTTCAGCGTCAGGAATTTCCACGAGTAGATTTGTAACTCGTTCAGAACTTATTTTGTCGATTGCATTAAAATTCATTTTATCGGAAGCTAAAAAATACATATATTTTGTACAAGGTGATACAAATTCGAGGCTCACTATTAGAGATAAGAGATACAAGGTCGGACTTGGACTTATTACATTTGATTTTAAGAGCTCCTGATGTCTCAAAACCCATAACGTATCGCACTCGATATCGCACCTATATTCGAACAAAATTTCCACAATAAATCTGTTTTCTGTCTCTCTCTCTCTAACCCATTGACCTTTCATAAGTGTCTTTAATATATTTTTTTTGAATAAGTGCGATACTTCATGGATTTTAGGACATCAGGAACTTTTAAAATCCCTCCATATTTAAAAAAAAAACAAAGTTGATCATAACGGATCCGAGACGGAACGTCGCGTCGTATAATAAATTTAATTACGTTTAATTACATAGTTAATTACGTGTCTTAACAAAAATTATATTTTGTCCAAATGTTGAAAATCATCATACTTACAATCGAGAAAGCTCTTACAGAGTAAATGTTTATCCCTTGAGTAGTTTTCAATTACTTTTCGAATACTTTCTACAGATACCTGCTTTCCTCCCATGTTCATACAAATATTTTGGTTTAGTAGTCGAGTTTTCAGCTTAGTTGATATGTGTATAGTATCTTGAAATACAGTGGGATTTTCTAAATTAAATTCTGCCTAAAATTATTTGTGATTGAATTAATAGATTTCATTTGGCTATTGAACCGAGAATTTTATTCGAGTTTTATTTGACTTACCTGATAATATGGTGAGTATGGATTATCTGAGATTAGTGGTAATTTTGATAAAATTTTCATACTCTTTAAACATCGTGTATCGCCATCACTGAAAACCCAAAATTGTTATGTCATGTTTTTCTGCCTCTTTACAAGATATTGCCAACGTTTAGAAACATTTTCATATGTGAATCGATTATCACTGCCAAAGACAGATATACAGAAAGCAGGGGATCCATCTACTAATGGCTGAGCCATAAAAATGTACGCGTTTATGGCCAAACTTTCATTTTTAAAAAGCTTCTTCAATGTCGCAAATCGAGTCCACTGGAAATTTTATAAGGCAAGGAAATCCCGTATTTTTTGTTTAATGGTGCTACGAAACCAATCATTTCGTTTATTGAAGAATCATATTGTACTTTTTTAATAAGTGCTGTTTGGTCTTCAGAAATAAAAATCACAGGGGGGTATTTTCTGCTTCACCAAATATAATTTAAGATCTTCGATTCTTACAACACCCTCTAAAAATATTGTCAATTTCTTCCAGTTGTCGGTGAATGGTAGTAATAGATGGTAATATGTTTTTAAATTTGAGTACAAGATTTCGTAGGTCATCCTACCGGCGGTAATAAAAATGTAAAGCCAGAAACGTTTAATTGCTTCGTCAAATTTATTTGCATTCTTTGATTTGCTTTTTTGAATTTTCAATTGCTGATTCCAAGAGATATTTTAACAGTCCCTTTGTATCGTAGTTGAATTTATTTAAGCTTTTATTTTCTGTGATAATTTTTAGGGTATTTGTAACTTCAGGATTTTTATCTATTACTTCTTCTAAAACAGTCATAAAGTTTGTTATTTGTATTTGATTGTAAGGAAGCTCATTTAAGTTTCGTAAAGACCTTTCGCGTCTGGAATTGCTACCACTAAACAATCGTAATTTATTTTTGGGAGGCTCGTTGGGAGGCTTTACTTTCTCTGAAACATCCTTACTGGCAACACTGCCATGGCAGAAAAAATCGTCAGGTTGTGATGAATCGTTTGTTAAATCCGAGGTTAAATCGTTAATTGCGTCAAAACTTCCATTTCATTTTGCGATTGGACTGCTACCTCGACTGCTATTTTGGTAATTATCAGTTACCTCCTCGGCTACCTCATCAATTTGTAGCAGAGTTGACTTTGAATTTGTGAACTCGTCTAATAATGGTTCAGGTTCGAGCTCAGGTTCATCTTGAATTTGTTTAGTATTTAACATATCGGATTCAAATGACTGATTTATGATTCTTGGCTGATCGCTGTTTGCAGGTTTAATGACGTGGGATATTATATTAATCTTTGTTGGATGGTGATAGGATGTTTCCGCTTCATAGGGTATATATTGTTGGAGCTCACAATGATTATTGAATTGTCTTTCATACTGAATAGCTGATGATGTAGCACATGATGTAGAAGCTACAGAATTGGCATTAATTGTATAAAAATTCGGTGGAGTATTTGAGCTCCCAGTTTCATCAGCAGTATTTTTTTTCAGGAATTTTACTATACTATAGGGCACCTTCTCCTTCTGAGATTTTCTGGAGGCAAGTGATTTGCTTTCACTGCATTTAAAGTGTGTTCGATAATGTCTTAAAAAGTTTGAAACGACCCATTTTCGGCCAGTTTTTGAGTTTTTTACTGAGTATGCGGACGAGATAAAGGTACATAATGGACATGATATTTTTGCATTTAAAATGCCATCCATCTCAACTTTTATGTTTTTGGATCTATCTAATAAATCGGTTAGTTTCTCTTGATCAATTCTGCCATTGTTAAACTCTTCCTTCGAAAATTTTTCGATATAATTCTTACTAATATTTATAACATGCTGCAGTGCCGAATTATGAAGTGAATTATTATTATTCACCCGATTATTCATTAAAGCACAGTTAGTTGTATCACTTTCTGTATCAGTTTCAGATGGCGACAAACTACTTCTGCTAGTACTTGTTCTATTCCTTTTTGGGGCTGTGCGTTCTGAATGCTGCTCATCTAAGTTTGGTCGTTTAAAATTTGTAATTTTTTTCTCGGATTCTTCCTTAATAAATTTAATGAGTTTCTTATGACCTTCGGGTATTTTAAAAAGTGAACATTCTTCGTAAAATATCCCAAACATTGCTTTTTTTTCTTCTCCTTTCAATACTTTGGACAATACATCTCTTGCATAGATTTCAATTTTTTCAACATCTTCTTCAATATTCAGTTGGGAAAGGGAATATATGTTATCAAATCCATTATGTAAAAGTAGAGTTGTCAGATATTGTGGTATTTCATATTCCAAGCCCTTTAGTAGTGTATTGATATAATCCATTCTAAAAATTAAAAATAAATAATTTTTTTTAAGTTAAACGATTTTATTAAAAATCGCTCTAAAAAGTAAAAAATAATTTGGCACATTTCTGTTTATTACGGTCTATATTTAACGTTATTGGCACATTAGGTACATATATATTTTTAAGTTCCATATAACATCATGGCGCGATTATTAAAGATACCCATCAAATGGAGATGTATACGCCCCACGATTTTATATAGAACTTAAAAATATATACCTAATGTGCCATTAACGTTAAATCGTGCGTTAAATCTAGACTGTAATAAACAGAAATGTGCCAAATTATTTTTTGCTTTATGAGAGCAATTTTTAATAAAATCGTTTAACTTGTTTTTTTATTTATTTTATTTTTTACTTTTTAGTCTTAATCAAAGTCACCCTCTCCACGACGAGCTCCACCCCTTACTTCTTAAAACTGCATGTTTGTATCTGTTTTGATAAGAAAATTATGAACTTACCCCCTTTACACCCCTCACCCAACTACACCCGTTTTCGTTGATTAAATTGCTAGTTAAATTGTATTTTCGCCAGATCAAATCATCAATCTGAATACCGCCTATTCATATTTGGTTTAGTACCAAAATTGTGAATTTCCCCCTTCACACACCTCACTCACACCTCTTTTTTTTTCATTAAATTGTACCTTTACCACATAAAATCATGAATCTGAAACCGCAAGGTCGTACCATTTTTTCAAGAATTTTTTATTCCAAAGTTATGAGGTTTTTTCCCCCTTTACCTACACCCTACTACGTTTTTTTATTTATAAAAATTTCTTGTTATCAAATCAAAACATAAATCTGAACACCGCATATTTGTATCCGTTTTCATTACAAAATTCTAAATTTGCCCCCTTTACACCCATCACCCGCCCCTGTATTTCTAATTTTTTTTCATAAAATTGAGTTCATAAAACATAAAATCCTCGATAAAATCATAAATTTGAAAACCGCATGTTTGTATCTGTTTTGGTTCCAAAGTTATGAATTTACCCCCTATATACCCCTTAACCACCCCTATCCACAATTTTTTTTCATAATAATGTATTTTCATCGGACTCACATTACTGTACCAAATTTCATTAAAATCGGTCCACGGGAAGAATTTTGGATTTTATGATAATAATACAGCCATTCTAATTTAATTACATATTTTTTATCAATTAGCTGCTTTTGAAAATACATTTTTGTTTAATCTGAACGCACCCAAAAATCAAAATTGACAAATTGACAAATAAAATTTAACCTTATTACTGAGCTTGTTACCATCTCGCTAGAAACCTCAAAAGCAACGAAGTTTATTAAATAATATTAATAAAGTACAGAGTAGAGTACTTACCTTATTGCTTTAGCAAAAGTTTTACGGGCCTGAACACTTTCTTATCACAATAAATAGGTACACATGCGAACGGGGACGCCGCATAGTGAAAAACTTTTGTATAATGACATGCGATTTCTAGGTTAGGATGAGGTGATTCCCAACGATTACCACATATTCCTAGCGATTGCCAGTTGATTCCTAGGTGATTCCCAGGGATTCCCATGTGATTCCCAGGTATTACCATGTGATTCCCAGGTATTCCCAGGTGATTCTCAGGGATTTCCATGTATTCCCAGTTGATTGCCATGTTATTCCCAGGAAAATGTACAATGATTTCCACTAGTGGTTTACCCCTCGGTCGTAACACTCTAGATTTAAGTTTAAAATACAATTTTTTAAAGAGAAAATGTAAAAAGTTGAATATGTCATTCTCATCATTTGCTATAAAATAAAGTAAAAAAAATACCCAGGATACCATTTCAAAATCAATTTCAAGTCATTTCCTGTGAAACAGGAAGGGGTCGAGAACGTCAATCAATCCTGATTTATATCCTATACTAACATGCAAGATCTCTTTTTTATGTGAAAAAAAGTTATAGGAGTAAACCACTTTTGAAAAACACCTGGTATAGTTGTTGTGTAATTCATTAAATAGTGAAGGTAAGAGAATTGTAGTGTAGAAGAAATATTATAAAAAGCGCACTCTACAGAAAGAATGGCCTTATTTGTTGGTAGTTATTCCTTTTTCAGAGTTTTTGTATCGATCCCCCAGTGAACATCACCGAGATTATACATTTTTATCTCCCCTTTTTTAAATAAATAACCAGTCAACAATATAAAAACGACTAATTACGCGCACTTATTTATGCTCCCACAACAATTCTCACCCTCACTGCGACGATATAACCGAGGCTTGCCTCGAGGGAAATGCTTAAAAATACAACAGAGGCTTAGCAAAATAAACCCATACAGTTGCCATTCATGATAAAAACTTGTTTATTATGTGACTTTAAATATATTTTCCACAATCGTAATTGCGAAGATGCTTTTGTAATTTGAAATGTTCATACTAGAACATTTTAAATTACTATAATTATTAATAAACTTAAAAAAGAACTTAAATATACAGGGTGGTCCGAACTATATTCCGGAAACTTCAGCAGCACATTCTGCAGATAAAAATAAGTAAAAAAGTTAGTATAAACGTATATCCTAAAATGCTTAGTTTCGTAGATATATGGTGTATAGAAGTTTCATTTCTATTTTGATTTTTTCCAAATAATTTCTGAAGTTACGTCAATATTTGGATGAAAATTGGTGTCTGGAAGTTTTTTTGACATGAGAAATTTGATTTTGATGTCAATATGACTCCTACTTGTAGAGGGCGCCACCTACATGTGTTTTAA